ATATTTTTTAAAAAGATTTGCTTGGAAATGAAAGAATGCAAGCTCAAAATCAAATATGTTCAAAGAGGTCGAATTTTGGTCAAAATGGCTTCGTATAAAGTAGCCGTTCGGGTTTTGCAACAACTTTGACTCAAAGCTCAAAGTGGTTTTACATTTTAATTTCTGTTAAATTGGTTGCATTGTCACTTTGCTCCTTAGTATTTGCCATTTTATTCTTGCTCCGTAATTGCTGTTTTATTTTTTCTAACAAATCTCATGAATTTAATTTGAAATTTAAAGACCTTTTTAAAGAAGACAGAAAGAGGCTTGTGTTCCTTGCCCATCGTTGTCATTGCGAAAGCTTTGGTAAACAATATGTTATGCGTGAAAGCGCGGCTGTTAAGGATTAGCTTGCTTAGGGTTACGATGGCTATTATATTAGCATAGGATTAGTAGATTAATGAGTGTTGAGTTCAGAAGTGTTTAGGACGTAGTTTTTCCCATATTCTCGCGATACGACCTCGGAGATTCAAATCTTAGTGATAGAAAGCTATTATAAGGAAAGTTAGATGCATCTCTTAGCGAAGTTGGGGCATCCCACAACGTTTCTGAGGCAGTTCATCTTTTCATTGAAATCCAATCTGTTCTAGTTGAATTCTAATTTTTCCCCTAATGCGCCATTATAGAATGTCCGATGAGCAATAAATGATAGAGTAATTTTTACGACTCATCGTATAAAGGTCGCAGCGCGCCGGACATTGGAATACTGAATGATGGGTTGGCGCGTTCTCCACCATCGGATTGTGCTTTATGACTCATCCACGCTTGGCAATTGCGCATGCGATCGGAGGATGTTTCCGCTATGGTGCACCCTTTGTTGCTAAACTCGCATTGAATGATAGGACAGGGACCGAAAGGGTTGTGTGCGATAGAGATGCGCTTGAGATGTGCATGTGCACACCGATACCATAATTATACACACTGCTAGGTTCACCTCTATCTTAGCAACCGCGAAGAGAATTCGGAAAATTCGCTGCTATTTTCTAATAACAGGAGATGAGAAAATCCCTGTGTGCGATCCCAGAACAATTTCATTTATCAAAAATGTAGATGTAGTATATATAAAGAGCGAAAATCATATACCTCAAACACTCTCTATATTCATTGTTTCATTCTTAATAAATCGCTTCTAAGCCTTTCTTTCTACATCACGTAGAAAGAAAG